GAAGATTAAATTAGCAAGGAGTCACCTGCAAAGTGATCTGAAGGTAAAGACCGTCGCCCAGAATGGCCCTTTCTGCTAGGAAACTGCTATATAGTGCATCTTAACCTGGATAAACTGATTAGAAGGAAGAATACTGGTAAATGATTTCTACTTTGTGCAAAATCTGCCCTGAGACATGTACTACATCTTGTTGTGGTGATCTTTTGCCTATTGATTGTGGAACTTAGTCTATGAGTTGTTGGGTATCAATTGAGTGATGGCTGCTTTTATGAGGGATGAGATTAGGATATTGAATGGGGCTTCTAGAAATAAGAGGTTTTCAAGCCTTATTCCTTTGGGTATATGGGCGGCATCCCCTTGGTGCCATATCTAATACACTTTCATACTTTTTATTTAAAAAAAAAACCTTATTCTTTTGTCTATGTTTTATATCTAGAAGGAAAGAAATAGGAGTCTTTTAAGGAGATTGGAATTTTGATAATTTCAAATACACTCCGTTCCAAACCCTACCTTTTTTATTAAGGATCGTTCTCTTTATATTTGTGAGGATCTTGGGGACCTTACAGATATTTTACTTGATATGTACATTATATACACGTCTTGCACTCTCTTGGTGCTTGTGAATAGTTGATTTTTTTCTTTCAAAAGAAAATAATAAAAGCAGCATTTAAATACTTGACAGAAGGGGTTATTTGTGGATCACTTGGCCAGAACAAAATAGTAGGAATTTCAAGCATCAACTTCAGCTGCCTCACACAGTTTGGGATAGGGGGACTTGTTTTCTTCTCTTTAGGCAAAGGCTCAGTTTCATTCCATGAATGTCTTTTATCTTCTTTGTAAAAGGATTGAGTCTCTACTCTATCCTTGCTTTCTCTTTTCTTCCCATGCTTTTTGTTGTGTGCCTATAGAATATCGTATCCTCTCATTATCAATCATAGCAGCTTTCTACCTCTTTAATATTATTTGTTTTGTTTAGGGGAAAAAAAGGACTTGCTGCCACAATTGAATTCTTTCATAGACTGTACAGTTATCTCACAGATTCTATCAATAAAGAAATTATCACACTTCGGATACATCACCTAAAATTGTTAACTGATTGGTGCTCTTCGATCACCAGATCACAAACATATGCTATTGCATTCTCCAAGGAACAAATGGAATATGGGATATCACAAACTCCCATCATTGAGAAATCACATCTTGAAAGCTCAAAAGTACATCATCTTAGGGCCTCAGAACCCATAAATTCAAGCTCAACCCCATAACAAATTCTCTAAACATAGCAATGGGCTTGAATAAGCTCTTATAGCATTTAAAACCACAGCAAGCATTTTGTTCTCAGGTTATCCCCTATTAGTGCCTTTTAATCTCAAAGAAAAACGAACACACACTCATACACAAAAGAACGATATAAAGTGCTAAGATCTTTTTTAAAAAATATCTAAAGTGAAGATCATTATTTTACCCAAGACAATACCAACATGAGATGAGAATCTTAGATCAACAACCTATCTATTGTCTTGGCTTTGGCATCCCCTGCAAGAACTTAACTCTCCGCAACAGGGTGGTCGTCAATATTCATGGGGATAGCAGAGATGGATAGAATGTTGTAGCAAGACGATTCATATCTCAAAAAGGTTCCTAGAAAGCCATCTCAAGAATCCAGCCATTGGTCAATTCTTTAGGACGGTTAAAGATATGAGATTGTTCTAGAGTGTTGTGTTGGGAGGGTACTTGGTTGGGGGATCGACCTTTTGCCAATCAATTCCTTCGGTTGTCATCTAGACACAAAGCTCCTATTTCATGTTTCCGTACCCTATCAAGGGAAGTGTAGCTTGGAACTTCCATTTCCTGTGTACCCTATCAATCTGGGAGACTCCTGATATGCTCAATTTCCTAATCCTAAATTAGAGCCGGTTCATATAAATTCACAGTCTGACACCAGAATTTAAAACTTTGGAACCCTCGGATTTATACACTTGCAAGGACTTTCGTTACCATCTCACTCAATGCCCAACATGCTATCAGCTCTTTATTGTCAAAGAACTTTGGGATGCTCTTGTTCCCTTAGAGGTAGAAGAAGTGTTGGCATAGATTGCCTTCATTGAAGGCTCAACATTAATGGGATTTTATAAGTTCGTAAAACCAAGTTCTTTCTCTAGAACATTTGCATCATGCTCTACAAAAGGAGGGGACTCACATTCCCATTTGTTCATAGACTGCGAGATGGCCTGGAAAATTTGCACCGAAGTGTGTGATCTATTTGGTTTATGTTGGGCTATTCCTCCTACAGTAAAATGTTTCGTGCACTCTACCATTCATAGGGAAGGTGTCATGAAGTGGTGAAACTCCTCTGGCAACAGCCTCTTTTCACAGGATTATGGATTCTACATCTTGAACAGAATCATAGGATTTTTTATGATGACTACTCATCATTTCAAGAGTTGTGGGAAAGGTTAACCTTTTTGCCACTTTATGGGCCAAAGCTAATGGGAATAATTCCAACCTAGCTATATCTGAGCTTCAGCAAAACTGGGAGGCACTTTTTGTTCCATAGGCAAATTCTTTTCAAGTTTATCTATTTCTTTCACTTTTTGAAATAAGTTTATCTATTCTTTTATTTTGTTCGATCTTTATATTTGAGATTGAGAAGAGGATGCCTTATACCCAGTGCATGTATTTATTCCATTCTGTTCCACTCCTAAAAATACCTTTTTTCCTATTAAAAAAAATAAAATATGAGGTGTCACAGAAAAGTTAAAAGAAATTGCTAAGATTTTGGGGACAAATTATTTTCAAAAATAATTTAGCAAAATTTTTAAATTTTTGCACAGAAAAAGCATTTAGCCTAAAAACTTTAGGGGGTATTTATGGGACACTCCACTTTTCACACAAATCCACCATGAATTACCTCCGCTGCTTTGAGCTTCTGCTACATGTAAGTTGATCTCCGCCAGCGACTAGAAAAAATTAGTAACAAATCAATGCAAATGTTAGAACTCAAGCCAAATATTTGATTTGCAACTAATGCAACCAAAGAAGATAAAACCACCTCTCTGAGAGCAATCTTGCGATCTTCAATTGGAAAAATATCCACCAATCCATAGGATGTCTCACACAATGATTGCACAAAATCCAATGACTCGTGATAAGCACCCTTTCGAAACTGTGCTGGAGTGTTAATGGGAAGTGGTGGCTTGGTAGTTGAGTTTTCATTCTGTTGTTTAGGTGAACCTGGACGCTTCTGCAATAGTAAAGAGGATAAATGACCCTCATAAAATGAATTATCAAACAGTTCCAAAAAAAAATCAGAGTCATAAATGTCAACTCCAGTTTGTCAACCTACTAATGAATTTTTCAAATGAAATCCAGCAGAATGTCCCCTTTTTTATTTGAAGAAAGAAACAAAACCCACCAAAAATAGAAAATCAACAAACATAAAAAAGAAAGTAAAAAGCCATCAGACAAAATAGAGATTGGATCTCTATACAAAGCAAATGAAGGTATTCTTTCAGGAAAAAAAAATGAATGGGGGCTTTAGCCCAAAGCATAGTCAAGAATATCATCCTATCCCAAGCAAAATGATGGGGTTGAAAACAATGCTTAAAAATTCTTGCATTCCATCAACAGCAAATTTACCCAGAAA